AACTTCTGCGAGAAGCTTCATCGTTCATCTTCTGTTCGTGAACTGTGGTAACAACTGGGGATCTCTACATCAACTCTTTCAAAACCGAAATCAGGTACTGTACCCAAGCTTGTAATTTCTGATTTAATGGAAGTGTTTCTCTCCTTTCTACCTTTCTGTGATTGATTTAGAGGCCTTCGAAGGAAGTTAGGGTTAGAGGGGAGAAGGATCTTGAATGTGCAACAAAAAAGGGGGCTTTTGTTTGTTGTTGTTGTTTTTTTTTATTTTTTTATTCCTGACTTACTCCTCCCCCCTACTTCGTGCAGAGTTTGAGAAAATGTCGTCGGAAAGAACAGAAAGTATTGTAGGGAGTGAGGTGGAGCCTTTGGACTATGGGGGTATGGACTCAGAGAGTAGTCCATCTCCTACTAGTTCGGAGGAAACAGTGGAGGGGGTGAGAGGAGATGAGGTGGTGGGGGTAGGGGGGGTGAGATGGCAGAGGTTGGGAGGAATCAGGTGGTGGGGGTAGGGGTAGATAGCTTACCCATCACCATAGTAGAAGTAGATAGTAATGGGGAGAGGGGTTATGATAGAAATGCAGATATAGTGGAGGAAGTGAAGCAGTACCGATCTGAACTAAGGACCAGGGATGACCTGTGTCACTTAGTAGAGACGTACGAGATCTCTTCTCGGGTTTTAGTTAGGCCAGCCGGGGTAGAGGAGAGGGCATGTTCTGCTCCTCGGGATCACTGGATGCCTGTGTATTCCCACTACTTGATGGTGGGACTCAGGTTTCCACTTCTTGAGTTGCTGATAGGTTTGTTGTTAGACTACAACATAGGGTTGACACAGTTGGTTCCCAACGCAATGAGGGTAATAATAGGTTTTTTAGTTTATTGCCGAGCTCAGGGGATTAGCGTGCCAACTGTAAATATGTTTAAGTATTTTTTTGTTTTAAAGGGTAGTAGTAGGAGAGATAAGGGGTGGTATTATTTCACCCCAAGGGTAGCTAATAAGGAGGGTAGGATTTTGTTTACGGCAGGTCCTTCATCCATTAAGGGATGGAAGGAAAAATTCTTTTTTGTAGATGATATTGAGTGGGGGAAAGGGGATGCCGAGGTGAGGCGTTAGCTTCCTGGAAGGCCAAAAGGGCCAACCAGAATAAATTTAGTTTGAATGAGGATGAGGAGGAAGAGGTGGGGAGGTTAGTGAGGAAGAGGGGGGAAGAACTGAACATCTTGGAC